TATTTCCTCCTTTTGCTCAGTTAATTTATCAGTCGACACTTTAATTTGAACTTCACGCGCGCTTGGCTACACGAAAAGACTTTTTGTTCTGTTAGTGTTGCCGGGAGTTACCATGCATTTTCATTTCGTTAAAATTATTTTCTTTTTCGACGGTAAAATAAAGTAAAACGTTTCATTATTTTCTTATTAGAAATCAAATTGTTAAAATCTCAAAACTAGCGCACGTATTTTCAACGACACACTCTAAATTATCACCTCAGAAACTAATTTCGAATCGTAGTATAAATATTGGGTAACCGGAATATCCCCATCAAAATACACTTCCAGCGAAAACAGTAAAAAAAATACAACCCAACGAAATGCAACCAATCATTCTTCTCCCGATAACTCTTTTGATTTTTCCGAGCAACGAACAGTAACTCATTGAATTTTTTTTTTTTTTTTTTTCTTTGCACTTAAAAAACGCAACAAAGCACCCAACAACTCAAGTCTCAACCACCACCAGAGCGACGGATGTCCCCCTGCAAAACACTCACGCCAACACACAAACCGTAGGTGGACGCTATTGATCAACTTTTCCTCGTAGCGCCGATTAGTTATCGATTACGTATTAAAGTCAAGGACAACGCCCCCCAATAAGTGCAGAGACCATCACGCGCCGACGACGCCTCGCGTTACAATACACACACACACACACACGCTATTGTCGATCTTATCTGCCGTAACGAGGTATACACCAAACGCACCAAATAAAAACCAACTCTCCGTAAGTGTATATACACGCCGAGGGAGGGGGGGGGAAGGAGTATCAAAGCCGTGTACGCTTACGTGTGTATACCATTGAACGCGCGCAGCTCGCGTCCGCAATTTTCTATTTACCTACTCGTGACGATTCTCCCGACGACGCACATCGATTTTCCAACGTCACCGAGGAGACACACGAGACACGAGGTCGCGCGCGTACTCCGACGGAACTGCTCCGGACAACGTACAACCGGGAGATGGTCACATATGAAAAAAAAAGAAAAGAGGGATGAAACTCAATTAGGGTCGTCTTGCGTCCAAAAGTGGAAACACACTTGACCTCGCAAAGTAAGAACCTGCACACTCCCGGTGGAGAGCTTGCAAGGCTCACCCTTTCCCCCAAGATTTCCTTGACTGTGTATAATATCATATACGCGGATGGGCATATCACACGTTGTGCCAAGACTAATGACTCGCGTGCGGCAAGCTTCCGCGTATGCGCGAGCCGAAGGTGGAATGAAAAAAACACGCGCACGGGCTCTGCACCGAAAATCGCGATCGATCCGAAGAGAAGAGGGCGCGGGCCGTACTCGAGAGGAGTGTTCAAATTTCCACTACCTCCTCGGACTATGTCGGCGTAATCGAATCCTCGATGGAATCGATCGAGCGCCTACGAAAGGGGATGAGGCTGCCTTATTGGAGGAGGAAATAGAGGGGAAGAAAAAAGCGCTGGCTCGGCCACCTCGCGCGTTTTCGAGGTCACGCGCCTTCGCCGCGAAGCCGTGGCTGCTCTCTCACACTTGCGCGCGCGCGCACACCACGACGAACTCTCCTGGCACCGCACGCGATGTTTTCGCGGGGATGAACGGAAAAAAAAAGAAAGAGAAAAAAATTAAACAAGAAAAAGAAGGTCGACTAATTTTTGGCGTCCATTGTGGGGCGACGAGTCGCGTGTCTGACCGTACACGGCTCTTTCTACTTGCCTTGCTCCGCGCTCCTCTCGAAACCTCTTTTCCCCCACGAAGCCAAAGCACCACACACACCTAGTTAATCGTAATCACTCGCGCAAAGTAATAGTACATAATCTGGTGGAGGCTACTCACGAGTAATGAATAAGGTACGCGATAACGTGGGTACGCGCTATCTACGCAGCTGCAGAATCTCCGTAGCTGCAGTTACTCCTGGTGCGCAGCAGTGGCAGTATACACGATGCACAAGACACAATAGTGTTTCCCTCGTCTTGGTTCGCTTCCGTGTGGTTGTATCGAGTTCGGGCCCTTCTGCACACACTATAGCCCCTCAGTGACAACCCTAGGGGGCACTATACGTCGCGCACTGTCCGACGATCCTTTGGAAGCTCGGAGTCGCGGGGTAGTCCCGGAGCACCACAGCGAACCACCACCACCACCACCCGGGGGGAGGGGGGAAAAAGCTCGCCCGACGAGAGCAAAGGACTACTCAGACGATCCGCGTTGGGCACATTGCGGCACACGCCCTCGCGCACCTCTCCACGGGACTATACTGGAACACACTAGTCTTCTGTCCCTCGACGTCCTGACGCTACTGGCGTCGCTCTCTCTCTCTCTCTCTCTCTCTCGGCAACACACGGTATACAGCGTTACAGGGACGTTGTACGCATCACGGGAGACATGGAGCGTCTTCGCAGGCTACAGGACGGCACGCAGGACGCACGCACGCATCGGGGACCGCCGAGATGTATATGGTCCTAGGCACCGCGACGACAAAGACAATGACAGCACTCCCGCGCGCGCACACCCCCGCGCCTACAACCCCGCACGTACAGCGTTCGGAAGGTGGAGAGAGGAGGAGGAGGCTACAGTTGCTCGGGGAAAATCCATCCACGGCGCGAGCACCTCCGAGTCTCCCCGTCTTTTTCCCCTTACTTACCCCCTTACGTTACCAGATCGACGAGGGTGAAAGAGAGAGAGAGAGAAAAAGGTGGCTCAGCAGCGGCGAACAGTGCGCCTGACCGTGTTTCCGCGGGAGGGGGGAAAACATGGCTGCTAGGCACCACAATACTGTACCGTCTCTCTCTCTCTGCCCCAGAGAATCGATAAACACTCGGCACTTCTCTCTACCGCCACCCTATCTGGCGGGGGATACGACCGACCCTCAACGCCAGCGCCACCGGTAGCCAACCCAACTACAACCCCCCGCCCCATACATACGGGAGCTTGCATATATTTTTCTTTCAACCGATCGGAGCTTGTATACTCCGTGGTGCTCGTACTCCCCCTCCCCTACTCCCCGGCTTGTGTGTGAGCGAGTGGTGGGTTCCACGGGGTTTTCGCTCCGTTACGCGGTATGGGGAGGAGAGCCACCTACGATTATATCTCGTAGGCCAAGCCGTGACGTTTCGAGCCGAGTAGACTCCCCCCCCCTCCCTAGCTATGGTATACGAGTCGCCGGGTTGCCGTCTAACGGGGGGACGATTAGCTTTTCTCCACTTTCCAATGAACCCACGGGCCAGAGGGTGCTCTTTCATCCTCGCGTTTTACGCTCATCGGAATCGTTGAGAAAAAAAAGGTGTTGTTTTTCATATCGTGTTTTGCCCCTTGGCCTCCAAATGATTGACGCTGTAAAACTGTCCTTGCCAAAGGGGGGAGGGAGAAAAAAGAATTGCTGCGGAGAGAAATTATTGATGTTTCCCACTGGTGGGCGCAGCTGGCCGCTCAACGAGTTTCGGCCTTTACGATGCACACACGGCACAAGACGAACCCCCTGCCTACCGTCTTCCTCTTCTCCCTTTTCCTCCACGTCACGATACCGCTGGAAACACGCATGTACGTGTATACATTCCATCCCCTATCGGCGTATCGAGCTCGACCATGTAGTCAATCGTGAAACACTCGAGGGGTGGAGAGGAAGGCTCTCCCGGGATCTTTATCAACATGGGGTGCATGGGGGTCGTGGCGGAGTGAAAAAGAGGGTCGTGGAAAACGAGGTCTACGAGCGAGCAGGGCGAAGAGTTGGGAAATCGATTAATCGAACGCCGCTGTTCTCCCTCTCTTTTTTGCTTGGAGAGAGGGTGATGGATTTTGTGGCTTTTGGCCTTTGGGTGATACACCTACGGAGAACGGACTCGTTGAAAAAAAAGAAAAGATGAGCAGCGCGTCCCGAGCGAGCTGGAGATGAAATGTGGCACATCTCGAAAGCTTCGTGGGTAACGTAGATTCCTACTTATCGTGCGATGGGACGTCTTGCTTTAGCTTCTCGCCAATTTTTTTTACTTTGTTGCGCTGTCCTATATAGGGTTTTAGTTTTACCACTACCTACCGCATGTGTACCTGATTGGCTGATGCTGCGTTGGGTATTGAGTTTCTGGAAATTTTGCTACGCCAACACGAGTGGGAAAAAACAAAAGAGCCCCTTCAAATTGTGTTCAATAAAAGTCATTTCTAATTGTATAGCAAATCATCAGTTTTCAGAATGAAAAAATTAAGAAAAATTAAAAATGATTTTTTATTTACTTTTTTATCTCGTTAAAACGTCTTGTTAAACTTATTACTAATCGACAAATATTTTTCATGATAAAAAAAAGTAGCGCGTTAGAAATATTTGTTGTTAATTTTTTTCCATTTGTCCATTGAATTATGTGTCTAATTTTGTAGGCATCTGTATCGGACCAAAAGTGCACAAGTTCATATTTTTATTAGTTATTTAGATTGGCATAAATAGTTTTGAAAAATTTTCAGGTTTTCTTCTATTTAAATAAAGTAAAGCAAAGCGTCAGACAAAAGTTGTAAGTTTTTACTGCTGTAATAATCAGGTGAAATATCCTTCAAAAATTTCTAAAATATTGTTTTTTTTTTTTTCAATGTCAGCAAAATATTAAGCAGAATGTAAAAATTTATCTTTTCGTTGAAATTTTTTAAACCATGCGATGTCCAAAAATGTGACCCAAATACCTAATGAAACGCAACCCTTAAGCCTTTGATTAATTTGATTAATCATTTTTAAGAGCTTGTGATACAGTGGAATATAACATAATAATAGTATTATCAATAAAAAAAGAAAAAAGTTAAAACATTATTATTATTTGGCAGAGCAAGACAATAAGAGAGGAGTAAAGAGAAATAGCCGAGTCCTTGGTTACACCACTACCGCTTTCGTTGCTACCAGGCATTTATTGACCAAATATCAAGTATCAGGGAACACTTGGAGTTTGAGTATACCGTTTTCGTTTGACGGCTCGCATCAGCGGTGGTAAGTGCGTTTTTGGATTTTGTGGTGGAATGACGTCCAGACGAGTGACCAGCAGCTGCAGCCGGCCTAGCTCGACAGCCTCCCGTAGAATAAGAGACAGCAGCAGTAGTATCGACTTGGGACTGTACTCGCCGATATTGGGACGGCACTTTAGAATACCTAGCTTTTACAACGAGCTGCCTGTCATCGAACTGGATGATACTTTGCCTTACGTTAGTTAATTTTTACGTAGCATTTTTTTTTACTGCGGATAAGTGACAGGATAACGTTTTTGTAATCAGTTAACAAAAGTTGTAAAAAAAAAAAAAACCATTTGATCTAGTTTTACTTATTTTTACGTGAAATTTACAATAATCATTAAAAAATCTATTTCAGGTTCCTGTCTATTGCCATTTCACCATACCAGATATCGAGCCTGTAGTTAGGCCACCAACTCCTCCTATACTAAAGGAACTGAGAGCAGAGTTGTAAGTATTAAAAATAATTTTTTTTAATTATAGTATTCACCCAATCATATAATAATTTCTTTTCTTCCCATCAGATTTAAAATACGAATTTTTAATTTATTTACGAAAATTATTATTTACCTCACAGTCAGGATACGCTACATTTATTAAAGTCGCCAAGACATAAACTAGACCAGAGATCGATCAGTCCGCATACGTGCCATCGTCGTTCGAATTTATCCAATAGGAGCAACTGATTTCTACTTACAAAACTTTCCGATGTATTTAAAAACAACGATTAACAAAAATTAAAGAAAAAAAAAATTTTTGTTTACATTAAAATAAAAAAAAAAAACTTACCATTTAACTTTACAACAAGCAATGCAACTTGAGAAAAAAAGGATATGGTCAGAAACTCTGGTTCGAAAAGTTCCGCTTCGCACGTTTGGACAGCCACAAGATGGAAGGGTAGCAAAATACGTGCCGTTGCGCAGGGGTCAAGCAAGGCCAAGCGGGCACCATGTTAACATCTCCTTCCTTTCGCTATGGACCTTTGCGCCTTCTTATTGGTTCGTGGTGCTCGTGACGGACAGTTTCTTCGGATGAAAACGCAAGAATTAGCGATGAAAAGGAAGCTGCACGATGCTCCGGACGACAGGCGAAAATTGGAACTTTTTTGTACTGTGCATTTTTATTACATTTTAAATAGAAAAAAATAAAATAAAACCGCGTCCAAAGTGTTGCTCTATCGTTTTTCACACAAGTGGTGTTTGAAGTGTCGATTGTGTAGAGTTAATGAGAAGTGCGGTTAATCTTGAAGAATGAGATAGCAAGATGAGATCTCAACAGCTCTCGGTACTCACTGCCTGGATTGTTCTGCAATTTTTTTGCGGAATATGCAGCACAGTTTTGCTCATCAACGTTAGAAATCAGGTTTGTTGAATCGATGTACCTGAATGACATTATTTCTTTCCAAGAAATTTTGGATATCCTCGAAAATAACGTTATATTTTTGTAATGAAATAAAAGTTCGGTGTACAGGTTAGCATTTTAGATGAAACATTTTCCACCTCCCGTGTAGCTCATAAAGTATCATTTTCTTATCTATTTACTATATAATGAAGAATGATACTTTCGTTATATTTAATTAATTTATTGATTTATTTGCTTACCCATTTAAATCAGCATTTTACGTTATCATCTACGATATGATAAATTTATACTCGTAAATCAAAATTAAGGTAAAGCTTTGATATATCTAATACATCATGAGGAACATTGTTATTTTCTTATCATCATTGGTAAATTGGTTAACACCATGAATAGTAACAAAGTCCTTGTAATTTACTGTGCACCATTTTCGATATTATAAACTATGAAATCAGTTCAACACATACGTTTCTGATCACAAAAGTTAGATATTTCAGAAAAAAAAACCCAATTTGATTACAATTCAGAGATTTATCTTTTATTTGCTATGTAAATATAAGAATTTTAAAAAACCATTAAGTTACACGCAAAGTTTGTGAATTTACTGTAATAAATTTATACTCACGTGTAATAGTGACACTTTAAATTGTTTATTCTAAAACAATCGGCATACACTATTGTGCGTGGAATAAAAATTGTGAATGAACAAATAAATGAATCATTATGGTATAACATCGATCTTGATGAAATAATAAATTATAGCTAAAGTTGGGGATTAATTACAGGGAGGAGAGATTATACAAGAAAACTTGACGTCCAACACAACAGATGATGTGATAACTTTGGAGTTTCAACGTTCAGATGGAACTCTGGTCACCCAAGTTGTAGATTTTAAAAATGTAAGTTGCCGAAAATATGGCTTGTCAAACGATGTACCAAAGTTTTATCGATTACAGGAGGTTTTAATCATAAAAGCCTTGGTCCTGGGTGAAATGGAGCAAGGTCAAAACCAATACCAAACACTGTGCTTCGTGACTCATTTTTATGACAAGGATTTCATATCCTCCGATGCAATGGCGAAATTGAGGCAAAAGAATCCCAGTACAGTTAGAGTTGCGGAGATAAATAGAAATTATGCAAATTACTCCATGAATTTGTTTCTAGACGTTTTTCAATCAAACGTTATATCCAAGCATATAAATGATTTTTGTTTTGAGGCAGCAGGATCTACTTTCACGAGGCATGAAGATGTAAAAAAATGGGCTCAAAGACCCGGTAAGTACTTGAAAATATTCGACATCATAACCTTATACTACCAGCGCCACTCTGATGGCTAAAAATGCAACTATAACCGTTTACATTTGAATATCGTTTTGAAATTTTTGCGGGCTTTATGGTAATTGCAATATGGTCCTTCATTTTGTGCTACCTACTTAATAAATTAATCATTTTAATTTTGTAATTCATTTATTGTGTTTGTACAATTAAAGACAACACCTAATGTAGCCTGAACTTAAATAATTACGAATCTTGCTGAAATTTCCAAATAAGACTGTAACAGGTCATAGTTGCATTTTCAACCACCAGGGCAGCGCTGGTAGTAGTTATCATGCCGATTTTTATGGGTGAATCTATAAATATGTCACACTTAACATGCACTGTGATATTCAAATTGCAGATTCTTCTAAAACCGCACTTCTAGCAGCTGTACATAATTTTACTATTATCACAAGTAGTCAAACAACTAGTAATAAAACGAAATCACAATCACTGTCAAAGTGTGCAGACACATCAACGTATACAGCACCGTGCACTTGCTCGTTGGAGTTGTGTATAAGTTGGTATCCTTGTGGACTGAAATTTTGTAAAAATAAAGCGCAAAAGGATAAAAAAGGTCAAACGAAAGAGCTTAGAGATACGAAAGAACAAGATGAACAAAAATATAAGAAAGATGAGGAAGAAAAGGACAAACCCGGCCTCAGTTACAGGTGTGGTATAAAAACGTGCAAAAAATGTTACATTTTCTCTTACTATTCGAAAATGAAAGAAAACTGTTTATGGGATGAATGACATTTAAGACATGCTTAATGTATCGTTTATATGTATAATTTTTTCAGCCATTTTTAGTGTCATTAAATGCATTTACAAAGTGCACGAGTATATAATATTTAGCATGTTATACAAAATATTTCAAACGAAAGCCTTTAAAAAATTTTGTAAATAGTGTCAAATACTAATGATGAAATTTATAACTCGTTTAAACGTAACGTTGAATAAATCCATAACTTTAATTACAAAGTTCACTTGCACTTAAATACGCAATATATTATTTCCGCATTTCAGTGAAAAATGAGATTTTTATAATTTAATTTCTTCATCATTTGGTCCTACAATGAAAGACTTGAAAAAAAAATCACAACATTTACAATTTCATAAAAGACTGTCAAATCTGTCCAATATTATAAATTTTGAACACTACTATGTTTAGATGTATGGTCAAACTAATTTATCTTGTGCATTCCTTTTTACTGCACCATTGCACGTATTTTGTAGAGGATACCTTCCACAGGTAACTGAACGAGTCAATTTTAAGCCATACAACGTTATCTTAGTACTATGATGCATAAACATTGATAAAGTCCATGTTGTAGACGAATAACACTACATCATTACGACAATGACAAACAAAATGGTCAAACTGATAAAAAAAATTTTCTTACATTTTATAAAAGAAAAAAAACATACGATAATTATATAACAAAAGAACACGTACGTTACGTTACCAAACAATAATAAAATAATTTCTTCCAACTTTCTTCTGTTGACATGAAATATTTTTGAACACCTAAACAATTAATTTAAAAAAGTTTTTGTTCATTACGTGCCATATGGTGAGTAGTTCCGTAAAAACTTGTATGTTCGAAAATACTTCATTTTTTTACACTAGATACATTTCAATAAGAAATAAATATCGTACCAAAGGTATTGTATTTACCAAAAAATTTATTTGGTCAAAATATAAATTAAACTATTAAGAAATTTTGTTTTAATCTTCATTGCCTGAGGACTATTTTTCGTCGTAAATAATTTGCCATTACAAGTAATTCTCGAAGTGTTTAGTGCCTGAAAAGTATCTGTAGTTATCATAAGTTTGTGTACGTGACTTATCATTGCAATACGAAACATTGCAAATTTTAAGACAAAAATTTGTTGATAATTAAATTTCAACAATTAACGTAATTGTACGATATTGAAAATATTACTGTGTAGAAAAAGAAATTAATTTTGATTAAAGTTATAATACGTGAAACTATTACGATCACTTACAATATCCAACTTTTTCATTTAATTAAGTAAGTGTAGGTACTCTTGTTATAAGGTTTTATTATACCCGCTGATCAGATAAACAAAACAAAAATGGTTGTATATGCCGACATAATATGTTTTTCGTCTACAGCATATAAAGGACAATGTTAACAAGACACGAGCATGAGTTGTTAAAAATTAATCTGTAATATAAAAGCAATAACTGTACATAAAACTGTAAATACACGAAACTGGGAATAATTCTGATTGTGAATCAATAATATGATATTGGTGAGAGTTTAATAAATAACCGTATAAAAATGTTTTGGCATTGAAAAATATATTATTAATGTGATATGACGTAACATGGTGTACATGTAACAAAATAAGGAAAAAAAATACATATATGATATAATGTATTGACGTTAAAACCCAGTGAGTATATTTTAAAGACTAGTTAAGACTCAGATTAATGATATGAAATTAAAAATGAAGAACACGTGTTTTAATGTTTACGTAAAGATAAAGGGAAAATTGCGAAAACATGACCCGTTGTAGATACGATATACAACAAGCAGTAAAAATCAATTCGTTTACATAACATTGTAATTTATATTTTTTATAAATATTTAATAAAAAAATATTTGATTAGTATGGAAGCGTGGGGTGTGTAATTATTTTTAAACGACCAGTTTTTGAAAATATGATTTATTTATAAGATACATTTAAGAATTCTACTATATGCACGTTTCCTCTCACTTTCGGCAAAATATTCAAATCTAATTTTTGCTTAATAATTTCGTAGTGGTTATTGTCTTAAGAGCTACACGAGTATAGAGGCACCGAGACAGGATTCTCTAGCATTGTTACTTTTATGTACACCTAACAATCAAGTATTTTTCTTGATAAACATTTTTCTTTCTCTTCATTTATTTTATACTCAATCGACGGAGTGATTTTTTTTTTTTTTTTCCTTAACTACAATTCAAGTTTATTTTTCACCCTTTTATTTTTATATTGCATCTCAGGTGTCTCTCGGTTTCTCTCTTATTCATTCATATACGAAGAAAAAAAAAAAAGAGCGTCCTCGTTTCATCAAAAACTTCAAAGTTTACTAATGAGCACTCTCTACTACGTATTTATGCACGTAAGTAAGGAATCTGTTGAATAAAGTTTTTCTGTAGCGTATGTCTCATCATTTTTTTTTTTTTTTGCGTGCATCTTTTTGAGACTCAAAATCGATCGACTGAATCGATCCCTAAAGATGTCGCGAAGAAAAATCGTACAAAAGAGCATGAAAGAAATGGTTTTTTTTTGTTTTTTTTTTTTTACATCACCTTAGCACCAAAAGAGATCCATGGGAGTAAGAACTTGAAGTAATCACAATCACACGCTCGCGTCGACGACAGTACATTAAATATATATATATATTCATTTATTTGTATAAAATATGTACGTGTGAAACATCGATCAGACACACACGCACGGGCATATAAAATATCTCGAAAGGACACAAATCGTCCGCTGAACCGAGGCCATTGTAAAATTGTAAAATCCTAGGTCCAAAGGTTATTCCGGCTCGCGCACGATTTGTCCACAACATTGATAAAAATAGCTGCTCTTTTTTCACACCCTCGCGCAAATTCATAAAATATATGATATTCACGAGCAGTTTTTCGATACATTTTTCAAAATAATAAATATACAATGACGTCACTTTCGTGTCCGAGAGAATCGTAACCACAGTTTCAACGAAGTTTTTCCTAAAATCACAATAAGTTATCAGCCAACGAACGCCAACATCTCTCTTTCGTTTCTTTTTGTATTCCCGCAATCAAAAAACAACAATCGCACCAGCAGCGCACGCACACTCGGCGGCTTTCGAATCAACACACTATCAACAATAATGAAAAAAAAAAAAAAAAGCTTCGGAAGAGATGTAGTATGAAAAAAAAAAAAAAAAAAAAAAAAGAAGTGGAGGGGTAAAGACAAGAGGAAGAAGAAGAGGAGCATACATATATATATATATCACACTAACTACTGTAACACGTTTTTCGCACGTCAGCCAGAATAACGCTGAACTCATCGTCCACCGCCTTTGGCACATGCTGGTCCATGCTTTGTCCAGGACCTCCGGCGGGTGCTGGCTGCGCCTGCGACTGATGTTGTTGTTGTTGTTGTTGCTGTTGTTGTTGTTGATGTTGTTGTTGTTGTTGTTGTTGTTGTTGCTGTTGCTGGGCGACTTGTTGTTGGTGCTGGTGCTCCTGGTACTTGGCAGCAGCGTCGAGGCTCGCGTGGTACTGCTCCATGGCGTGGCTCATGGCCATCTGGGCGCACTGTTGCTGGTGATCCTTGGCCGCCTGCTCGTCCAGGATACACTGGGCGTTAGCCAGATCCAGCTGGTGCTGCTGTTGAGGGTGTTGTTGTTGCTGCTGCTGGGTCGTGTAGTAGCGAAGGTCGCTCGCGTAGTTGTGGTTACTGTCGAGGAGACTCTGCGAGCCGAGGCTCGAGTGGCCGCCCGCGGCGAGGCTCGACGGGTGGCTGTACTTGTTGAAGTACTTCTCGAGCTGCATCACGTGCTCCTGCTCCTCGTCGTGCATACCCGGCTCCATGTGGCCCATGCCCACCTGCTGCTGGCCGGCCGAGTTATCCGTCTGGTACTCCTGATGTTGGTGGCCCAATTGGTATCGATGCCCCACACCTGCGTCAAACACACGGAAATGGCCCTTTTATATTTAACTTGAAAAAATTACGGGATACCATAATATTATGGACTCGTCACCGACGAGTTTTGCAAGCACCCGATTTTTGTATGGATCACGCGCGCAGCTTCATTAAAATCCCACAGGGTAATTGTACATAACGAACGACCGCAACGTGCAATTAATGTTACGTTAGAGCTGCCCCACGCGGAGTCTGGGTGCAACGAATAAGCCCGAGGAGCAAATTAATAAGGCTCGTCAGGCCAAAGGAAAAGATGAAACGACTGACCGGAACAGCCCTCGGCGGGGCGCTGCTGTAGGCCCATGTTCTGCTGTTGCCTGTTGCACTGACCGTATCCCCCGGTGTCTTGTACTTGTTGTTGCTGTTGTTGCTGTTGTTGTTGTTGTTGCTGTTGTTGTTGCATGGCCCCGTAAGATTTGGCCTGTTGGGCTTGGGCGGAGTAGTGGAGGGATTGGTCGTGGGGCGAGGCGACCGGCGGGTAAAAGGTGCCGGTGACGCTGCCGACGTTGTCGAAGCCAGATCGCAGCTTGTTGCACGACACCATCATGCCGTTGGCTATCCCCACGGCGATGCTCGTCGACTGTTGCCGCTCAAAGTTCAGATAACTCACCTGCATCACGCGTAACAAACAGTTGGATTATACACTTATATAGATATTATTATCACCTGTCCGGTATCTTGGAGGATATTTGTGTATATATATACCTTTTTGTAAGTCAGGGTGTCGGTGTAACCAGCCCCGGTGTTGGCGCACGAGGATATGCTCGGGCCACCGACGTGCAGCTGATTGTCGCTGTTCATGTAGGAGTAGCGTTTGTTGTGGTCCGACATGTCGTGCTGTTGTTGCTGCTTCGACTGCCCGTCCATTAAATCTCGCTCGGCATCTGGATTCTGCGATACCGGTATGTGCGCGTTGTCGCCTGTTGGCGTACACATTTTCATTTGTGTGTTACCATTACGATTATTACCCAAAGTGTTTATCAGAATTATTATTATTATTGTTATTATTATTTCTAATTTATGTAATACGTCGAAAAAAAAAATGACAATAATCCAACCACTACCCCATAAAAATGTACATCAGTCCTAAGCCAAGGTAATCAGTCGTAAGTTACGTCGTTGATTCTACGTTAATTCCATGTTGGATCAACGCTGATTTATTTTTAACTTGACAGTATTGAAATCATAAGTTTAAGAACAGTTAATTACAATTGAAAACTGCAAATGATATCACGAAAATAGCATTGTTTTGCAGTCAACCACTAATATCGGCTTAAATCAACGCAGGATAAACATTGGATCAACGGCGTAATTTACGACTGATTTCAGCATTGATGTTTTTGGTAGGGTATGGAGATTGTCATAACATTCCTGAATCACTAAATACACAAATTGATTTATTAAGAAAAAAACCCCTACTCTACGAAAGCACAGATTGGGATGTCTTACACAGAGACTCCAATGACACTGTGATATGTACATTTATAAAGAAAATGTAAAAAAAATGGCACAAAAAAAAAAACAAAGAAAAAAAACAGTATACATGTAGGTGGGCATGGAAACACACGCGCGAAAAGACACAAATCCAATAGCTATTAGGCAACGAAAGACACACGCGACTGGCTCCCGGAGCTGCAATACGTTTTACTCGATCATAAAATTTCTGCCGGTTTTTTATGACGGTTATTGCCACGAGGAGAAGAAGAAGAGGTGGAAGGAGGGGGGGGGGAAGAAAAGATACATGGCTCCGAATCCGCGTGCGTCGAGAGCAAAGAGCAGGAGGAGGAGGAGGAGGAGGAAGAGATTTACCGTCGGGCTCGGGACTGGCGACGGGCGAGATGTCGGGCGTGTGAATGATCGGCGTGTACGGGCTCCCGTAGAGCGAATTGTTCTCCGATTTGTAGTCCTGTATACTCTGCTGCTGCTGCTGCTGCTGCTGCTGCTGTTGTTGTTGTTGTTGCGGCTGCTGTTGCGATTGAGGTGGCTGTTGTTGTTGTTGCTGTTGTTGTTGTTGTTGTTGCTGGTGATAGAGCGATGAAATCGGCGAGTGCCCACCCCACGGCATTTGCGGTATGCCCTGGAAGTTGTCCATCTTCGAGCTGCGGGAGAGAAACGATCGGATGAAATGTATCCTATGCCGTTTCTTTCGTTTGTTTTGCTCGTTTGATTAATCAACACACGCGCGCAACAGTCCACTAATTAAGAGACGCGCAGGATCATATAAATACGAGGAAAAGCTAGCATTGTATTTTTTTTTTTTTTTTTTTTTTTTTTTTTTTTTTTTTTTTTTTTTTTTTT